GAGTGCTCCGCATGAAGCAGCACTTCCCTGGCACAGGCAGACTCCAACGCTGCGCTCAGTCCTCTCGATAAAGGGGTATCGGGTGTGATGGGACTGGAAGACGCCTCAGCATGGGCCCCACCTCATAAAGAGGCTGGCCCGCCACGAGTCTAATCTGGCACTCGGCTCCGGCCTCCCCATGAAGGGGAAGCTGGCCTGGCGTGCTGGAAATCTCCAACGTGGGCCCCACCTCATCAAGAGGCTTCCCCGCCACGAGTCTAATCCGGAACTCGGCTCTGGCCTCCCCATGAAGGGGAAGCTGGCCTGGCGTGGCTGGAAAGCTCCAACGTACGCCCCACCTCAAAAAGAGGCTGGCCCGCCACGAGTCTAATCTGGCACTTGGCTCTGGCCTCCCCATGAAGGGGAAGCTGGCCTGGCGTGGCTGGAAATCCCTTCAACGTGGGCCCCACCTCAAAAAGAGGCTGGCCCGCCACGAGTCTAAACTGGCACTCGGCTCCGGCCTCCCCATGGAGGGGAAGCTGGCCTGGCCTGGCTGGAAATCTCTTCTGCGTGGGCCCCACCTCATGAAGAGGCTGGCCCGCCACGAGTCTAATCTGGCACTCGGCTCCGGCCTCCCCATGAAGGGGAAGCTGGCCTGCGTGGCTGGAAATCTCCAACGTGGGCCCCACCTCACAAAGAGGCTGGCCCGCCACAAGTCTAATCTGGCACTTGGCTCCGGCCCCCCCATGAAGGGGAAGCTGGCCGGGCATGGCTGAAAATCTCCAACGTGGGCCCCACCTCATAAAGAGGCTGGCCCACCACGAGTCTAATCTGGCACTCGGCTCTGGCCTCCCCATGAAGGGGAAGCTGGCCTGGCGTGGCTAGAAATCTCCAACGTGGGCCCCACCTCATGAAGGGGCTGGCCCGCCACAAGTCTAATCTGGCACTCGGCTCTGGCCTCCCCATGAAGGGAAACTGGCCTGCGACGCTGGAAATCTCCAACGTGGGCCCCACCTCATAAAGAGGCTGGCCCGCCACGAGTCTAATCTGGCACTCGGCTCCGGCCTCCCCATGAAGGGGAAGCTGGCCTGGCGTGGCTGGAAATCTCCAACGTGGGCCCCACCTCATAAACAGGCTGGCCTGCCACGAGTCTAATCCGGCACTCGGCTCCGGCCTCCCCATGAAGGGGAAGCTGGCCTGGCGTGGCTGGAAAGCTCCAACGTGGGCCCCACCTCATAAAGAGACTGGCCGGCATGAGTCTAATCTGGCACTCGGCTCCGGCCTCCCCATGAAGGGGAAGGGGGCCTGGCGTGGCTGGAAAGCTCCAACGTGGGCCCCACCTCATAAAGAGGCTGGCCCGCCACGAGTCT